ATTCTCATTATAACGTTGTGTAGCGGACTCTGTTGCTTCGGCCGCTACTTCCGCGTTGTTTATTTACGTCACGTCTGGAAATTCCCCCGCGAGAAGTCCTCCTGTAAATATCTAGATATTATCCGGAGTGCATATGTGAAAACGGCTAATGACCAATTTGTGCAGTTGAAAAATAGCTTGTTGCCTATTTAAAGTTAATCTCATTCAAGTACTTGGTTTTAAGGCCATTTAAGTGTGTCAATATTGCTATTGCAACTTTTTCACACAATTCCTAAATCTCAAGCCAAATAATACGGCTGCATTAACATGATTTTAAGTTGACTGTAGACAGAAAACTGAATATTATTTCAGACTGGCAGTTACATTTGGGATAAGTGGACTGGCACCAACATATGGTGGTTCAAAGTAGAATATATCAAAACTTTTGGCGGTTTGTTTTCAGTGAGAGAAGAAATTGTTAGATGTTTTGTTGCGTTTGCACTAAGAAGAAATGGCATACTTTTTTCAGATCATTTTTCCATACTACTGTTCATAAATTTTTGGTTAGCCTTGTTGGTTGGGCTCATAACTACTAACTAAATAGGGTCTTCTGGATTTATAACAGAACACATGACATTCGCATTTTTGTAAAAAGGAATCCTAGCTACTGGAAGACATGATCACTACGTTAATTTTCTTAAAGACAGATCCTTGAAAAACAACATCGGAGCCTATGTTTGGCATTTTTGTTTAAATACAAAAGATTTGTGAAACACACGGATTATCTTGTCAATTAAGACAAGAAAGTACAATAAAATGTTTGCTTGCATAGCCCTAATATGAGCTCCAGTATCGTTGAAACCAAAAGCCTCTCGTTTGCTTTTGTTCTTTGCATTGCTACAGTATGGCAGGGTGTTACCACCACTTGTTTAACTAATAATAACCAACCGATCAGGTCAATTAATGGTGCAGGATTGGTAGGAGCAGTGTTTATAAAGACTATTGTGCCTAGCAGTTTTTAATCATTTAGCACTGTGTTAACTGTTTCCCATTAACACTCTCAACCCCACTTGATCTACAGGCTCATTTACATGTAAAAGTTTAGAACTACCCGAAATCTTAATGTGCCCTTGGCACATGATCATTTAATGTTGATCATTTGTCTAACCAGTTTAACTGTATAATAGACGTGCTTATTTTCAAGGCAAAAATATAGGAATCCATGAAACACCTTTTGGATTTGTTGTTGTGTTGTTAGACTGATGGGAAAATAAAAAGCAACAAACAGAATTAACTAGATTGGTGGAGCAAGTTACAGGCGGCCATTTGAAGGCAGAATACTAACGTCCCAGTTTTGCCTTGCGCACAGCACACGGTTGCTGAATAGTTTGGTCAAGTCTTTCCAGCTTATTTATGTGCGCTTGTTTTATTTCAGCAGAACATGAGCATCTGTAACTCTGTCCTTATCAACGTATCTGCTCTGCTTGAACCGTGGGCCTTTTTCGTCTTTGACACAATCACACTGACACTCTCCTGTATGGTTTGTCTCAGATGCAGCGCCAAGATACAAATTTTGGCTGAGACTCTTACTTTAATAGATTACAACTGTTTCCTTTCTTATACTATTTTCTTTTTTAAAAGACATTTTACTGAAACATTTACAACACAGACAGCTAAATTCCTCTGCTGAATTGTAATATTTAAATTGACACACGTAAATTAAACTGCTCATATATTGCAAAAACTCCATGCATGGTGTTGACCAATACATCCATTTCTCATAACACTGTGATTATCACTCATTTTGGTGATCTGTATGGGTCATTATTGGTTTATATCTACAGGGCAGGGAGGGAGAGTTTTTGTCAGTGGGCGAGCTACATTGACTCTTAACATCGGAGGGAGTGGCGCACTGAGCGGTCTGTTTTACGAGCGAGTCTCAAAAACGGTCCATTAATGCTGTTATTACAATATATCGGTGATCAGATTAGGCTGAAACTTTGAACACTACCTTCTGCTTTATATATGTTTTTAGGATTTATCAGTCTCAATAGGAAACATAAACTAGACAGTGACCCTCTCAGCAAATAGCTTTAGTCACAGTGGACGAGATTGATGAAGGAAAGATTGTATCCTTGAGAAGTTGTCATACTTTTCCCTGATTGAGTCCCAGTCCTTCACTTATTGCCCCCCTCTGTCCGTTAACAGAACCCTCTGTCCGTTAACAGAACCCTCTGTCCGTTAACAGAACCCTCTGTCCGTTAACAGAACCCTCTGTCCTCCTGCTTCTGGACAAAGTAACATGATGTGCTTGCGAGCGCCTTAGTGGCCCAGCCCTAACTTACACAAAAGGCTCATCATTTAATTACCTTCATTAAAAACTGTTATTAACAAAAAAATAAAAGTTAAACGATTTTGTTTTGTTGAAGTTGAGTTAAATGTTTTTCCTGCTCGGGCTGTTTTAAATTGATTGTGAGAAGGATGATCGGGTGTAGGGCAAGACAAGACAAGACAAGATAAGAAATATCCTCTATAAGTCCCACAATAGGAGAATTTGTATTGTTACAGAAGTAAAGAATAAAATACAGAAAAGGTTGAGATAAGCATCAATTAAAAAAAAAAAACAATACTGTGAACTGTCTTATCAGTGTCTTTGTTTTAGCCTGAAGTTGGTTCTTAGCTTTTCTGTAAGTCAAATAAAGTGCAGAGGTGATAACAGCAGGCTAATGATGGATGTTTGGATTATTTAATTTTTTCCTCTTCTGATGAAACGGGTGTTAATGTTGTGCATCAGATGGCTCACCCTGGTCATGGTCCTCCTTAGATCTACTATGAGGTAGTCTAGTTTATGGTGCGCAAATCATGATGCCTGTTACGAGTGATGATTCATCGTGTGGGTTTGTTGATGATGTGAAACAGGCAGAGGGACTTTATAGTTTAGATTTTACTGGTAAGCCTATAGATAACTGGCTGAAAATTGTCAAAAAGAAAAAACCTTTGAGCTGTTTTATTGAATTTCTGCCAAGATTTAGCCTACAAAATTACTGGTGGCTTTATTACTTTGATCATTTGTCAGTGAATAGTGTACAGTGTGTTTTCTTCCTCGTCACAAACAACTACCATTCTGCGTCCTTGAGTCTTTTCTGGCATACAAAGTAAAGATTTAAAACCTCCTATGCTTTGTTTAGAATCTAGGAGGAGTAAGGGTGGCTACTACATGATCCCTCTTTGTCAACAGCCTTAAAGTCATGCTTGTCATTGGCAGAGCTGAGGCTGTCAACTCAAACAGGGAGGAAACACGCCTGGCTGAAAATCAGCTTGTTTCAATACTTAAAGCTTTTGGACTTTGATGAATCACAGACTGTAGTCACATTTTATTGTGGTGGTTCTCAATGAAAGCACACTTTTTCACACACCTGTATTTTACCATTCCAAAAGGCATCAGGCTGAGCATGTTGAAAACATGGACAGGATAGTGTCATATCCTCTGTAGTGCACAGTATTTTTTTTAACGTAACTCAATTTGTGTTTCTGGTCTAGAAGAAGCCTCAGTGGTGAGGTGCTTTAAACCTACATTTAAAACATTCAGGAGGGGGTAACTCTTCTGTTTGCAAAATAAGGACTTTAGTTTAGAGGTGTCGGATCAAAATTCTGTCTCATAAATCCCCAGTAAGGTTTATTTTATTTTTTATACCAATGGCTAGTTACAATATTCTTAATTCTAGTCATTATTTTCATGGCATGATGTGCATTTTGTAAATTATTATCGGTTTAAAAGTTAAATAAAGCAGATCTGGCTTGGAGCAAGGCTGTCTTGATTTGTTACCGTAGCGAAAAAGGATTGCCCCCTCGTGAAATGCAGTGTTTTAGGCAGCCTCTATACCAACAAGTTACACTACCGTCTCATACAAACTCTTACATTCACTTACAAGTTCTCCATCCTCAATGATCAATCAATCAATAAATCAATCAAGATTAGAAGTCAATCAAGTAGATTGCCCTCTACTTTTGTCTTTGCACATCAAGGATTTTGCTCAGAAAGACAGTGAGGGCAGAGAGGTGAGAAGTTATTGCTTCAGGCCACAATTTGGCAACAAGAGTTTTGTATCTAATTAAAGTTATTTTTTTAACCTTTTATCATATAATGTTTGAAAGGAGGTTGTTGCACATCCAACTATCACATGAAGGAAGCGTGTGGGACGTCCCAAGACATGGGAAGAGAGCGTAGTTGACAAAGGTCCAGAGGGACTGAGGGACACAACTGTTATTTTTTTTCTCTCTCTAATGAATGGTGATGCTGAGCAAGAATAGTGTAAGGGACTTTCTCTTTTCAAGGTTACCTTTTATCATACCATGCAGAGGACTTTTATTATTTATTTATGAGGTGTATATGTGTGATGGACAATATGCCTTTAGTCTAAAACTTGTTGGAGTGATAGATTTGATGAGCTATTGGCCCTGAAAACAATTGAAAAATGTCTCTATGAAAACAAAAACTAGTTGTTTCAGGTCAAAATTTGCATAGTTGACTCACACATGTAGATTATTAGCAGTTGAAGTAGGCTTCTCCAGGTTGTCTAGACTGGCCTAAGCCTATTAGGGGTGACTTTCTCTCATTGGTCATCTCATCTCTGCTGCTCTCCTCTGTTTTCATGTGTGTGGTTTTTGCTTATGCAAGTCCAATTTGTGGCCTACCAAAAAACAGACTCAAAGTAGAGAGTAGACGATGGCAGCCTGACTGTTGTGAACACTTAGAAACTTGAGCAGGTTGGTATTTATTTACAAACCCAGAAGTCATAGCAGGAAGGATAACTGAAGGCTGAATGTAGTGAAGTTTCCTGGCTGTTGGAAGTTTTTAGGTACATTTCACTGACCCGTCATGGTGTGTTTGTCTGAAGTCTGAATTTCTTAATCCTTCTTCTTCAATTTATGACCATCCATGTAGCGATGAAGCGGTGTATATGTCTCTTCTCAGCATGCATATATGTTGACCTGTTTTTTTCATCTGCTTGCGTTTTTAGCAACATGAACCGTGAGGACCGGAATGTGCTCCGAATGAAAGAACGAGAAAGGAGAAATCAAGAAATCCAGCAGGGAGGAGGAGGAGAGGCCTTTCCAGCGAATTCCCCTCTCTTTCCTGAACCCTACAAAGTGGTTAGTTTGTTGACCTCACATTCAATCTTGACATGTAATCAACGAGTCTGTTTAGAGGAGTTTGTAATGCCACAGGAAGTGAGAACTGCACATATAGTAAGGAACAATCATCTTGAAACAGTTTTGTCAACACATTTCTTTTGAAACTTCACATCTCTCCATGGCTTGGTTCACTTTGTTTAGCTTCAAGTTTAAGAGGCAAAAATGGAATGGTTTGGTGTTTTTTTTTTTACGTGCAGGTGTAAGGAGGCTTTTTGTAATATTTGTTTGATTTTCATCCCTTTTTTTTTTTTTTTAAAGCCTTGGTCTAAAAAAAACATCAACAACCTTTAAGCTGAATGTTGTGTACGTTTTTTTCATCTTAATAGTTTTTAAAAACGGGGTTGAAATTATGAATTGCAGTTCTTAATCACAACAGTTAGGTTTCATTTTTTAGAATATGCTTGAATCTGACCATATATTGTTAATAGAATACTTGATTTTCAACATTATCAGGTGTTTCATCCACACAACAACCTTTTGTATTCTGATCAAATTAACAAAGAAAACAATAACCATTTATCACTATTGGTATAAATGGATTCTACTGAGTGTATCTCATGCTTCAAAGACAGACGCTTTGAGAGTCTGGAAATGCTCGTGTGAAGTACCCTGAAAGCACTCTAATGTCACCTCTAAAAAGCTGTGCGAACCTGGCAAAAAAAAAATCAGATTCAGGCTTCTATCGTTGCCTGTTCTTTTTTTTTTTCTTTTTTTTTTTACAAGAATGAATTACTCTTTTGTTATTTAGCAGGATTTATAAACTCATCTGGATCTGTTTTTTTTTTGTGACGTGTCTGAACAAGTTGTACTGACAATGATGGCCCTTCTTTTAATCTAGCTGATCTTACATGCACTCTAAGGTCGCAGCACAGTATGCGGTTGTGTTAATCATAGTCATTAAAAACACTATGTAATGCTTTCTAAACAGTTTTGGCCTAAACTATATCATGAAAGTTTAACTGCACTTTAAGAGGTGGTTGAATCGACAACACCTGTCTTTGGTTAGATTTTTTTTTTGTTTTGCAAGCGAAGATGATCAACAAAGAACATGCCAGTTTCTTCCCTCTTTCCTCCCATTTCTTCCACCTCCTGTTAACAGACTCAAATATATGTAGGCCAGCCAGCTCTCACCCAGTCAGTGTTATTGTCGAGAGGATTTGAGTTCTCCGCACTGGTCTAATCTTTGCCACTAACCAGATTTGAGCAGAGGTAAGTGGCTCCTCTCTTTAGCTTGAGCGAGCCATCAAAGAGGCAGTGAGGAATGTGTCCTGACAGGTTGGTAATAGAAAGGCTACCAGAGGTGAGCGATGCATGCAGGCCTGTGTGTTTAGGACCACAACAAAGTGAACGCTGACTTTTAGGAAGTCCTTGACCTGTCGCACAAAAAAATGGAAGAGGCATGCGGCAAATTTTTTCAACATTCTTCTGCCTTCAGAAACGACTACAAAGCAAACTGAGGTGGTAAAATGTCTTTTAGCATCAAAATATGTTGAAAAATATTTCTGAGTCGCTGGCTCTTCTGCACTGGTATCTTTCTTCTCCTCATATCTCCTTATGTAAGCTTCAGTTGACTTTTTTTCCCCCCGCCTCTGTCATGCTTCACTTAGTGTAAGTTTACTGTGTTCTGCATTAAAAGGCAATGTGTTCAGGCAGCTGCAGCTGTGGCCTCCCAGATGTAGAGCAGCAGAGCAGGAACATTTTTATGGTGCAGAGTTTACACACTCGTACCTCAGCTGCAAAAATGAAGGGCACAAAAGTATCCGTAGAAAATTTAAGTACAGCAATATTGTTTTTCAGTCTGGTAATGGAAGAGGAACTTAATTCTTATCTGATGTTGATCTAGTTTGTGATACAGTACATGGCTGCAGTATAAATGCATTTTTGTTAAACTCATGGTGGCTTCCAGCAGTAAAGCAGGCTTGCTAGGGCAAATTGTGGAGAGCTGTAACCTAACTAGCTCAGCTATAGGTATAGAATATATAAGCTTAAAAACTAAAAGCTTTGTATGTTATTTTTGCACCCCTGCCCAAAGATGCGTTGAGAGGACGTTTTGAAGGAGTGACAATCAGTGTCTCTTTCTCTTTGATTGTCTGCTGTCTGAAATGCAATTTATGGGGCAGGACCCAAAGAGTACACAGGGTTCCTCTAGTCAGGAAAAAGATAGCGCTTGTCAGTTGTTGTAGAGATTCCTGAGAAAGTTCCTGCTGAGGCAACTGGCTTTATGAAACTATATTTACAAAGATATTATCTAAGACTTCATGCTTTATCGTTCTTTTATGCTTGTTTCCAAACGTGCAGCACAGCATGTACAACTCACCAGTTTTGACTCTGCCAACAACGTGAAGGTGTTGCAATCACTCTTCATGCCAATGAGTGAGGTGAACAATCTGTTCAGATTTTTGTGATTAAACTCAAGCACTTTGTCTTAGTCTGTTTGTGCCAGATGCAGGAAAAAAAATCCCAATCATTTTATATAAATTATCAAAAACTACGTTTATTTGTGTGTATATAATTTGAAAGCAGCCACTTTGAAAAGTTGTCAGCAATGACAGAAGACTTCAGAAGAATCTAGCGGCCATTATTTCAACTTGATATTTTTGATATTTGGTTATTCAAACTGGTATATACAATAAGAACGAGTGTCTTTACCACTGTCTCTGGTGGACAGGTTTTCAGGAGGGGCTAACAGCTGAGCTGTCTTTGAACATGTTAGCTCTTTTTTAGGTTTGAATTCCTTCAGTGTTCATCCTTCACAAGGACGGGAGCCAAATTATCTGACCGGTGTCCTCCTCTCCAAAACAAACAGACCCAGTAATTACACCCAGTAAAATGCTGAATAAAGCAGTTTTATGTCAAAAACAAAACAGTGCTTCTTCTCTGCTCGCAAACCCCAAGCACTGCCTCGGAGCATCAGAGATGTGTCCAGTATTTTCAGAAAAGTAGACATATTTATGACACAACAGGGATCTTTACAATCTTTCTAAAGCATGTCAGTAAAACTGGCAATAAAAAAATTAATCCAAACTACCAAATAAGAAAAGGATATCATGCAAACCTTGACCAACTACACACATTGGAGCAAGGCCAGACTAACAGGAGGCAGTGGAGAGATCATGTTGTGACCAAGCTTGTTACATTTCCTGCTGAAGATCATGGCTTGAGTTTCTCCACACTCTAAATGAATCTGTCAAACAAAACTGAGGTTTGAGGTCGCTTTGAGATGTGAAACTGGAAACTCTGTACAGACTGCTGTTACGGGCTACTTGCAAGCACGTTGGCTTGAATCTGCAGCCTCGAAGTGATTGATTAACCACTGTGTTGGAACTGTAGTAGACGCTTATCTGTGTTCACAGATGGGTGTGGGCAGAGTTTGAACAAGCTGACTGTGTGATAGGCAGATTAGGCTTCTGTCTTTATTCAATCGATTATTTTCTCTATGTTCAGTCAATTATCTTAAATGTAAAACAGGTGACACAAGAGACTTGGATATAATTAGTTTCCTTTTAAAGATATAAATCTGTATCAATATGCAAAATTTGCACAATTTACTTATTTTGAGTTTCTTTGTAAGTGATTTTTATATAAAATGTTTTCAATGTTTTTCATGGAAAGCAATTAACCCAAGTGTTGATCTTGTGCCCATAATGATTGTTTTCTCTGCCCCCTCCTGTCTTCTCTGTTCATTTCTCTCTCACTTATTCCCCTTTCTTCCCCGTTGTTATTTTTCTCCCCTTCATCATCACACTGTCCTCTCCTTCCATTCTCTGCATCTCTCTTCAGTCCAGCAAGGAAGATAAACTGTCCAGCCGTATTCAGAGCATGCTGGGCAATTACGACGAGATGAAAGAGCCGATTGGTGACACACTTCCAAAGCTCGGTGGTAAACCTTCTAACAGCTCGTCTTCCTCTGAGGAGAAATCAGGTCCACCTTTGTTTGGCGGTGATCAGCGCGGTGTTGGTAGCGGCGGGAGCAACCAGAGCAATAAGTGGACTCCTTTAGGCCCCGCTGCTGGTGGATCTTCAACCCAGTCCCAGAAACGCTCTGGACTAAGCAGCCAGAGGGGAAACGGAGGCAGTAGCGGCAGCAGCAGCAGTAGCCAAAGACACGGAGGGGAGGTGCGCGAAAAGAAGTCAAGTAAACACAGTGGAGGGTCAGAGCACTCAAAGTCACACACATCGAGTCCGGCTAAGGGCTCCCTCAGCTCCTCAAGCAACAGCAGCCACTTGCGGAGCTCGTTGTCTGCCGAGCAGCATCACAGCAAAGAGCGATATCGTTCCAAGTCCCCACGAGACCGAGAGGCTAACTGGGACTCCCCCTCACGGGTTCACTCCTCCTTCCCCACCGGACAGCACTCGAGTCAGGCATTTCCCCCGTCTTTAATGTCCAAACCCGGCTCCATGCTGCAGAAGCCCACAGCGTACGTACGGCCTATGGACGGCCAGGAAACGGCAGAACCTAAGAGCTCACAGCCAGAAAGTTACAGCGGACAGTCACACAGCAGCACCATGGGAGAGATGAAGTCGAACAGCAAGGCCTCACTTTCCAAACTCAAGATCCCCTCGCAGCCTGTAGAGGTACGCTTTGTCACACACTTTTTGTTTTAAGTGTATTCTTAACTAGACTGCCTATGTACACTCTTTACAGTAAGTGTGTGTTTATGTATTCATAAAGATATACATCTATAGAGGAGGAGGCTATTTGTTGAATATGTAGACTAGGAGTGGCAGAGCACTGTTTATGGTTGGAGCATATATTCTTAATGATGCAATAACTGGAATAACTCACCTCTCAGTATGTTGCACACTGTCTGTTGAGCTCTCATAACATGCCTATTGGGTGACTTATGCTCCTCAAAATGGGCACTCACCTGCTGCACTGACACCATGTTGTTTATGAACACATGCTGAACTTGATGTGTCTTGTCTTTAGGGGTCTGGTGACGCCAACTGTGTGGATGAAATTCTGAAGGTATGTAGTTGTATTTGGCAAAAAAAAAATCCCAAACAGCTCATCATTTTTAAGAGGAAAAAGTCAATGAAAGGGCATTTCACATTACTCACCATAGACTAATTTGCACATTTTTCCCTGTGTGTGTGTGTGTGTGTTTTTTTCTTCTTTTTCTTTTAGGAAATGACTCAGTCTTGGCCCCCTCCGCTGACGGCCATCCACACCCCCTGTAAAACAGAACCCTCCAAGTTTCCATTCCCCACCAAGGTCAGTACTGCAGCAGGCGCTGTTTTAAATGATTATGTGGCAGAATTGCTCCATAAGGCTTTATTATTTGTTTATGACTTTTGTGTGACATAAAGCTCAGAAACATGTTCAGTGGTTGTCTGAAAGCTACTATTTATAGTAGTTTTCCTTGATATTCTTCCCAGTCAGTTTGGAGGATTTTAGTCCCAAACTTAGGCAGGAATAAACCCATCTTAATTGATCATTTCCTAAATCATTGATTACAATCAGAGTTGACAGACAAACTCAATGATAAGGAGTGAAATGTTAAATTTGGTGATGGAAATAATTCTGAATGTCTTTTTCTTTTTTTTTTTTGGTTCCCCTTAGGACTCTCACCCTTTTCCAAGTGGACACAGTGAGTTTCAGACATATTTCTGGTTCACAACCAAAACTTGAACTGAGTATTAACTTAAGTTTTTATTTATATTTTGTCCCATGTTTCTCATTAAGTGCTATTTGTTTGAATTTTAGAGAGAGGCAGTTCTTCCAAGAGCTCGAGCAGCCACCAGCCCAAAGCTTGCGATGACCAGCCCACGTGAGTGCTTCATCCTTTCCTCTCATCTTAAGCCGCTGCTTGTAGTTTTCCAAGTATTGAGTTCAACAACAGGGATTAGGATACTAATACAAATATTCATGATGAGCTCGGTCAGTAACCAGACATGCATAATGGTTGATATGATTGGCCTCAGTTATGTTGAAGTGATATCATTGATGGAAGCGGTGAAAAAGAAAGGTTGATTGATTTATTTTTCCCCGAATCACAGCATGCTTGAAGATGACCTGAAACTCAGCAGCAGTGAGGACAGTGATGGAGAACAGGACTCCGCCAAGAACGCCTCAAGGAACACATCAGCAAGGTAAAGCTCAGAGAGAAACAGGTTAACTTTAGTGAGAGTTTAAGAACTGAATAGTTGAAGCTTCTTTTACAGGGAGATGTTGACTTCAGACAAAGTTTTGAGGCCTTTGTAGTGTTGTGTTGCTCTGCAGTATTTCAATGGATGTATTTTATAGTATGTTCTTTATCTTAAGAAATATGATGCACAGGTTACATTTCTGCAATAGGACATTTACATTATTGTGTTTATAAAGGACTGCATTATAAACAAGTTTGTTTAGTTTTAGATTTGTTTCTAACTTTCAAACTGAGAAGTTGACCTGAAATTAGACGCACAGTTTTTAAACCCAGGACAAGATGTAGTTGTTGTAATACATCCATCAGTGACTGAAATTCAGAGTGGATTGTACACATTTAGCACTCAGTAAAACACTGTTCCACTGTCTTCTCGTAACATCAGCAATAACAGTGAAGGAGCGGAGCAATCCAGGGACGACTCGAGCAGCCACAGCGGCTCGGAGAGCAGTTCGGGCTCCGACAGCGAGAGTGAAAGCAGCACGACAGACAGTGAAGCCAACGAGCACCCACGGCCTGCCTCTCCTGAAGTAATGACTCAGCACTAACTTTTTCCAACAATTAAGAGCTTCTTTGTAATGATTTAGTCCCTGAATAACTAATGTTTTCACTAGCTGTGACTGTTCCTAGCTCCGTAGACCCTTCTTTTGGGTAAGAATTGTTAGGAGATACTGATTGTTCTTCAGGCCAGAATACCATCTTTTTACATTTATTTTTGTAGTTTTTACGAGCAGCTAGCATAATGGTTTAGTTTGAAAGACAGTTTCCAACATCTATGTGTTCTCCTGCTTCCTCTCAGCCGGAACAACCCATGGCCAACAAGTGGCAGCTGGACAACTGGTTTAAGAAGGCCAAGCAGTTCTCACCAGCCTCTCCAGTAGACAATAATGTTCCAACTAAGTGCAAGAAAGAGGGCAGGGATAACGGCTCAGGACGCGGCTACAGCAGCCAGGGAGGGAGTTCAAAAGACTCAGCAACACCCACCCCAAGCAGGGACCTACGGGCGGCACAAAAAGGTGCGGAGGGTGGCCGAGGCAGGCAAAAATCCCCCGCCCAGAGCGAGGGTGGCACGAATGCACGAAGGAGCATTGGTAAGAAACAGCCTAAAAAGTCTGAGAAGCCCCCAGTGGTGGAAGAACCCAAAGGAGGTCTGAGGGTGGAGAGTGAGCCGGCTCCTGAGATACCTCCTCACCGGCCCAAAGCTGCTACTAAAGGTTCTCGAAAACCAAGTATCAAAAAGGAACCCAAATCCTCTCCGAGGCCGACAGCACCCGCTGTCACCAACACTGCAGACAAACGCAAGGCCAAGGCACCCACAAAAACCTCTCAGAAGTCTCGGGAGTTTGTCGATACGGACTCCTCGTCATCAGACTCTGAGGGGAATGAAAGCATCCCATCCTCGTCACAGACGCCCAAGTACACAGAGAGTATAAGGACACCTGTGTGTGTGTTTTCTCCAATTGAAGAGAAAGAGCTGCTGTCTCCCCTCAGTGACCCAGAAGAGCGATACCCTGCGAGGCAGCCTCAGCAGCAGGTCCTACTTGTGAAGATAGGTGAGTTTAAATAGTTAAGAAGAAGAGAGGTCTAAATGACACATTTATCTCACTGTAGTCTGCGCTCTTTGTTTTGCCTTTTTCTAGCTGTAGTGTGCTCCCCTGATGCTTTTCTTGACTTTGGACCAAGCTAAATCTTCCCTTCCCTTCCTCCCCATTTCCTATAGATCTCAGCTTGCTGTCAAGGATCCCAGGGCGGCCCTACAAGGAGCCTGTGGAGATAAAAGTGGAGAGGGATGACTCTCTAGACAGGGACAGTAAAGACTTCAGCAAGCAGAGCTCTGAAAAGAGTTCTAGTAAGGCCAAGAGGAAACACAAGGTACGGCACTTGGAAGACAAAATTCCTGTTATTGTGATTCCATTCAATGTTAAAAATATGAATGATAATCTAACTTTTCAGAGCTTTAACTTTTTAGTGTTCTTAGAAAATGGACCAATTACTTATTAAGATGTTTATCTTTCATTATGGAAGAGTTGGAACAGATTCCCATTAAGCAAGAAAATACATTTGAATTAATTACTCTTGGTGGGGATCCAAAGTTGATATTTCCGTTGCTTTTTTTTAGCTGGGAAACTACCAGAGGAAGAAAAAAAAACAACTTAGTGATGAAACAGATTTGGAGAACAGCTTATCATTGACAGACTGTAGTACTGAATCTCCTGAGGGGTTTAATCGCTCTAGCGCAAGTTTCTTTGTTTCCAAATCCCTCGCTTTTTAGATGCATTACATTTCTTGATTTCTTTATCTTTTTTAGAATGACGAAGAAGGAACGAAGCCAGAGAGCAAGCGGAGCAAGCTAGAGGAGAAGTCCCTGTCTCATCACAAAAACAGCAGTAAAGAGTGCGTATTCTTCCCTTTTCATCCCTCCTGATTATCATTCACAGTAAACCGTCTGCACACTGACAACACTTGGCACACTTGCTGTGACAGTAGTACTTAATTTGGTTACAAAATAACGCTTGCCAGATGTCTTTTTCTCTGTTTGTACAATTCACAAAAGACAGCCTATAAACTCTTATGAGTACTATAAAAGCTCAGTGACGCTGTTTGTTTATTACTCTGCTGCCTCTCCCTGCTGCACCTGTTGACCTTTTATTCTAAAGAGCCCTCTACCACGCCCTCACTGTAGAAATCCTTCAACTGTTAAAACTCAATCTATTAGGGTGAGTGTTTATCTGCTACAACATTGGCCCATTTTGATAATAAAATACTGTATATATGCATCGAAATAGCCTTTTCACACATTCATGCAAATATACTGAAATGTTCAAAGCATTTGCATGTGTGTCCAACCAAATAATCGTAAATTATCCACATGAAGTCGAGGTGAGCCAATGTGAGAACGCAGCAGGTAATTTTCATGAAAATATACCGCAAGGGTGCAGTTGGGCTTGATTACCCGTATCCTGCAATAGGTGTGGATTCAGTTTTCTTCTATCTCATTGGTTTATTCTGCGAAAACATTCGATTACATGTAGCATGATATAAAAGCACATCATTGCGTTGGACACTGTTGCTCTGGGGAAAAGAGAAACGTTTAAGGGGCAGGCTGTCCATGTTTTAAAAGAGCTAATGAGGATTTATTATCCCACCAGGTCTAAGAGGTCTTTGGAGAAAAAAGAGGAGCCAGTTCCCTCTCCCTCCATGTCAGGTCTTCAGCGGACGCCCAAGGCAGAGCACCCGAGCAGAAAGAGAACGGTCAGCCAGTCCTCCACCTCTTTGTCCAGTGGGACAGGCAGTGGGAAGGAGGGAAGCCACAGCACCAAGAGCAACTCCACCTCCAAGCACAGAAAAGGAGAGGACAAGGGACGCAGCACACGGGACGGAAAGGTAGGTGTAAATATGCTTATCTGCGGGGATTTGTTGTTTGTGTGGATACCTGGAAAGCTTTGGGAATACTGGGAAGTATGAGTCCTTCGTCATGTTTGCAGACCGTAAAGTGTTTTTCCCCAAAGGGCCTTTAAACTATCTCTGTGTACTCTTCATGTGTATGACTTTAAAGAACATTCAAGCAGCTAATAACTAAATTGCATATGCCCAATTCATACACATTGAATAGTATTGTATAGCTCCCTGTACCCTCAAACTCACCTTCTCCATATCATACTCTACTTCAAACATCATTCCCCCACCTTTTTCCCCTGAAACTTAATTCCCTCTCGTTTGCGGTCCCTGCAGGAGAAATCCTCAAAGGGCTGTGATAACCAGCTGGCCGTGCCTCCACTCTCCACCGACGGCTCCAAGTCTCAGAGATCCAAGCTGGTGTTTGAGGACAGGTAAGAGGAGCTCTTTCTACTGTGGATAACCCCTCAGCAGGGTATAGCAGAAAGAACTGCTGTGGGGATCTAGAGTTGCCTTTGATGCATTAATCGTTGAAGGTTGGGGAGGTTGTGAATAGATGTGCCTGCATGCAAGAGAAATAATGTAGTTTTAATGTAAAAAGGCTATCCTATGGGGGGCTCTGTTTTGTACATGCAGTAAAGGAAAAACTGTATACTTCCAGTTTGAATGTCTTTTGTTTTAGGCTTATGTTTTATATAAGATAAGGATCCTAGGTTGTATGTTTTTTTTCTTCTGTAATTCATGTAGAAACTCATCCATATAACAGTGTTGTAAAAAGTTGTTTGTTAAATTGTTCATTTGTTCAACTTTTAAACTGTTTCTGTTTCAGGGTCCATTCAGCAGATCACTACTTACAAGAGGCCAAGAAACTTAAACACAACGCAGATGCACTGGTGAGAGCAAGCTCTTGACTATTTGCATGTGGAATTGAAATGCCATGGTATCAGTTGCTGAATGCAAAGCAGTGAGGGGAGAGGATTGTACAACAAGTTCTAGACGTGAGAGTAAAATGACTTCCTGGTTAGATTAATGCTGGATGTAGAAACACAGTAGAAGCTTTGAGCAGCTTTACTCTGTTTTTAAACAAGAATTATTTATTGACTGAATTTTACATAAATATTTCCAAAGCTCAATTATACTCTGTACTTTGAGCATGGTGTTAAAGAACAACAACAAAAAAAACACTTTCTTTCGTGGCTAAGTCAATGAAAGATGAGGTGTTGTTTAACTGCAGTTCTCATATCAGTTACAGTGTTTCTCCTACCATTATATTAGGGAGGCGGCCCTTTTTTTTTTTAATTTCTTTTTTGGCTTTTTGTGCCTTTTATTGTAGAGATAGGATGGTGGATCTAGTCGGAAATCAGGGAAACAAGTCATTTAAAGAGCCCATATTATGCCCTTTTTGGGGATCGTATATTTAATCTATGTACCTACTTTTGTAAGTTCACAATAGCTAAAGTCTGAAAAAAGTGTCTGTTTTCATGTACTGCTCCTCCTCCTCCTTCGTTTCCGCGGACTTTGAATTATTGCACATAGATGTGCCTAAACATGCACAGGACACTTGGAAAACACACTAAAGAGCATATAAAAGCAGAAAAAGCATAATATGGGACCTTTAAGGACACCTTTCCAATAGAACAGGACAGCTGTCATTAAAAGTAACGCATGATCACCAAGATTCCTTCAAGGGTTTGTGTCGTCGTCCGTCTGCCCCCCCCCCATGTAAACCTAGGGGAAACACTGAGTTACTCACCAGAGGCTTATGAGACATCATAACCGTCTGCACGTGAAATCCAGTCTAAATACTTGAAAAATATTTAGCTGCCTCTGGAAAAGGAAACTTACAAATACCAATTAATTTTTCTTTAATACACAAGAGACTCCCGTGATTTTTAAGTTCCTGAATAACTTGTTAAACATTTAATTCAAAGGTTAAAATAAACTCTTCTCATCCTGGTTATCATATCAATAAATGGTAACTATGAATAACATTTTTCTTCAATTAAGCATCAAAGAGAGAGTCTATGTTAAACCTGCTGAGTTTGTTCTGTAACATAGCCATGGTACTTACTAACTTGTGATTTTAAAGTTGCGGCGATTTCATTCAGTCCTTTCTCTTCCCTCTTTCACAGTTGGATCGTTTTGATAAGGCGGTTTACTACCTGGACGCTGTGGTGTCTTTCGTTGAATGTGGGAATGCTCTGGAGAAGAGCGCCCAAGAGTCCAAGTCTCCCTTCCCCATGTACGCAGAAACAGTGGAACTTATCAAGTAAGGACAAAGATTCATATCTGACTTTCACATCTAATGTTCACATCTGCGGATGAATGTTGTGTTTGTCTAATAAGACGACTACAAGTTTGACAATCAAATATAATCTGTGTTTATGTTCAGATACACTATGAAGTTAAAAAGCTACATGGCTCCAGATGCTACATCAGCAGACAAGAGGCTAGCTGTGCTTTGGTAAGTCAGCTGATTGACATCATGTGATCCATTTCCATCTCATGTTCAGGAGGCAAGGTTCTGTTTTAAGCCTCCAAATCAAAGCATTCAAATCCCTGCCTCTTTGATTGAGGGGTGTTGTGTATTCAAGCAGTCCACAAACTTATGGTCATCGCTTTCTCTGCAACTTTTTTAAAACAATGTGAACTCTCTCCAGCCTACGATGCCAGTCCCTCCTCTACCTGCGGTTATTCAAGCTGAGGAAAGACAGCGCACTAAAGTACTCCAAAACACTCACTGAACACTTAAAGGTGCGTTCAGTTCCTTCAATCTGAAAGAATATTTTGCTTGGCAAATCTTCAAAAACACATTCCATGTATGTTGTTTTCTGTGAATGCATAACCTGCTTCCTGTGCGTGTACATAATGCTTCCTCTCTTTTTGCTTCTTCAGAATTCCCTGAGTAACACCCAGGCTCCCTCTCCTGGAATGGGAAAGTAAGTCACATGTTAGAAATAATTAGTAATGAGACGTCAGTGTTTCCTACAGCAGTGCTAACATTTACAAAAGTAAAGCAACTTATATAGACATTTATCTCAATGCTTAAACGCTCGATCATTTCACAAAAGAGTAACCAGAACTACTGGACATATTCTTTATATGTAAATTCCTTCAAATCACTTGTTGACGTTTTCTTAGGTTACCTGTTTTAAGAATAGTTTGAAGCTATCAAATCTTACTGAGAGGCAATAACATCAAAAAACAAAACAAAAAAAACCCAGATCCAGTACCAACTTTCTAAATATCATGTGTGCTCTGTTTCCTAATGCAGCAAGGCAGCAGGAATGCCGTCTCCAGTGTCTCCCAAGTTGTCACCAGGCACTGCCGGTGGCTACTCGACGGTAAGCAGCACTAGCAGCGCCAGTTCGTCTGTAACCATACCTCAGCGTATCCATCAGATGGCCGCCAGCTACGTCCAGGTCACCTCCAACTTTCTGTATGCCACCGAGGTCTGGGACCAGGCGGAGCAGATCTCAAAGGAGCAGAAAGGTAAAACCGTGTTGATTTACTTCTTATTATTGCTCAATAGACATCTTTTTCAAATGTTTGTAGTCATTGTACTGTGAGTTGTGTTTTTGCTAAAGGTTACTTCTTGTTCTGGTCTCGTGAGTGTAATATCACAGGACAGCCTTGAGGGTCTCGCTTGAATTTGGCACATTTCATCCTCTTGGACTAAAAGATGAACAGATTAGTTTTTTGTAAGTCGAGGTCAAGCTCGCTGCAGTCTCAACATCTATCCCAGTCTCGTGATTGTGATATCCCAGGAACACCTGGAGGGAATTAAATTTCATCTGTCTTGTTTTTATTGAATTATATATGTCCAAGAGAATGACCCTGAAGTCTGAAGTTGATTCGGGGACAATCCCCCCCTCTCTTTCCGTTTCATACCTGTTACCAGTCACTGGTATTATGTCCTTCCTTCCTTCCTTAATAGATTCTTACTTATGCTGTTGTTTTTGAGTATTGTGTTCTTTTTTCAACAGTCAATTTTTAGGAAACGAGATGGATGTAGATATCCATCTATATGGATATATGGATATATATAACTGCAACTTGATGTTTTGGCAGAAGTTTTTTTTATTTTTATTTTTTTACTTTATGGGAACTTCCCCTTTCAGGGAAAATCTACAGTCTTGAATGAGGTCATGGTGAACCTTGAGTTCTCCCTGCACAGATTCAGAATAAGATAGATTATACTAGTGAGACAGACACCTCTTTTAAGTCAGTCATGCCAGTTTACTCAAAACAATCTCATTCGGGATTATCCCCATTCAGGGAATTTTACAGCATCAATATATCTTGATTTAGTTTTTTAAACTGGGGTCTGCATTAAAATAAATTTCAAGTCATACCCCTAATGTGCTCACAGTGAGGCAGTTTCTCCAAATGTCTGCACTTGGGGTCGCTGGTTCAGCTCAGTGTTTGGAGCGTTGTCCCAAGTTAGAGTCCAACCCTTAACATTTGCTGAATGTCATTACCAACTCTTTTCTCCAAACATGTCCTGTCTATCCTCACTGTCGTATCCTAATAAAGGCATACAATGGCCCAAAATGGAGAGCCATACAAACAACAATTCATACCTTAGTTAGGTGTCTAACTAAAGGCTGGAACTAGAGCTTCTTTTAAGTTAAAGGATGATCCGACTACTTAACTGTGAGCAAATCAATCAATGAATCAAGCTTGATTGATATAGGACCTTTTTATATAAATCAAATGCAACTATTGGTCAATTGTGGCAAATGAGGCAGTTAACCCAGGTTATGTTATTCAGTCATGTATCAGTTAATACATACTATGTATTAATAAATACTGAAGATGTATTAGTGAGTTTAATGTTATTTTTCCTTCATTACTATGTAATGTTTATAATAATTTTTTGGAAAGTTGGTTTGTAATCAGAATCAGTTTTAAGACATCCTCTTAGGCTTCTGGTAATAGCTAAAATCATTGTCTTGGCCTAATCAGTTAATTGGTTAATTAAAATGAGTGGAACAGTCCTAAAATAAAGTCTTACTCCACCTTCACTGTCTTGTATCCTGATGGAGTTTGTTGTTTTCCCAGAGTTCTTCTTGGAGCTGGACAAGGTGATGGGTCCTCTGATCTTCAACACCAGCAGCATGACAGAACTGGTGCGTTACACGCGGCAGGGCCTCCACTGGCTGCGCCTGGACGCTAAGCAAATTCCCTAGCAAGGACTCGTTCCCTGCACGCTGCTTCCACACCCACACCTCAGCCTCCTGTGTTCAGCTACGTGTGGCCAAAGGACACACACACACGCATGCTCACAGACACACACATAATATACACTCATGTACTGTACACATTCACAGACAAAGTCCACCTCTGGTCCTCCTTGCACACGCAAAACACACATGTGATGGACCTCTCAGACATATCTCCAACACTGTGTCCATTTCCTACACCAGCTTGCCAAAAACACTGAGCAACCTCGGCCATCTCAACACCGTCGACAGCACCACACAGGGAGAAGCATCCAAACTGCAGCAACAGGAACAAAAAGAACTTCTCGCCATGCTTCATGTATCGGCATTCTTATGATATCTCTGAAGGCCATGTTTTTATCGATTCAGCATGGAAGCGCTGGCTGAATTATTTATGAATATGCGTACAATTGGGTTTGGTTTAAGGCTACTTTGGTTTTTTTGTATCTTTCTGTTTGACTTTGTTTCACCAAAGTACCTCCCATGAACACCAAAGGTGCTTTAAAAATGAAGGTTTCTCTTTATCATTTTTGTGCCTTGTATGTGAGCTACAGGAAAACAAACAGCCACCCCTCATTCAAGTACATTACTTTTTATTCTTCCTCTTTTTCTCCTGCTACGAGTCATATAATATATTTTTTTAAAATTGAGTTAATGAAAGCTGGCATCAATCACGTTTTTTATTGCAGTCTTTCAATTTTGAAGTTGGGTCCTGTCCAAGTGTTTGACATTTAGGAGAAGAGATGGCGTTGGCAGCAGATGAAACTACCACCCTGACTTATATTTCCCTCAGAGTCTCCTGGTGCATACGCCTTATTATGGAGCATGGCCACAAGAGTTTAGGACTGTAGGAAAGGATGACTGTGTGCAGCGGATAAGAACTTCTAACACACTCTTATTTATACATTTTTTTTTAAATCAGTTATTAGTTTTTAACAGTGTAACTTAATTCCCCAGGATCATGAACTTCTTTTAGCCCTGCTAGACTATTTTATGCTGGTCTTGTTTGATGTAAGGAGTAGCATGACCTCTAGGGGCTGCTATTGGGGGCTTTTAGAGTCTTGGCCTTAATAAAATTGATCACATAAATGTTCTCTCTTAGAGATTTTTCCTCTGAAGCTCCAAATTTTACTCCTCTGTCAATGTTTTTGTTATGTTACGCTTGTAGCAACATTGTTCATTGACAAATGTCCTCATGGATGAGTCACTTCCAGACAGTGTTTTTCTCATTTTGAGCCCCCTTGTTAGCTCAGAGTGTATTTTTCTAAGGATCAACAGGGAGTGTCTTAGTATTAAAAATCATTTCCACACATACAATGCAGTTACTTAACAATGCAGTTTATCAAATCTGGGCTTGAGGAGGAGGAGGAGGGTAACACATTTGGCAGAGCAGCAGCAGCAGCGAAAACATTTCTGACAGGTAAGAAGTTGAGTGATACAGGTTAGCAGTGTTTAGAACAGAGTTTTAAAGATAATTATATATTTCAAAGGTAAAGTATAATGGCCAATATAGATTTTATTTATATACCAAGCAGTTGTTTTTTTTTCTTCTTTTGTCCAAACAGAAGTATAATTTTACAAATGCATACTTTTAAAACAGGGTTGAACATGGGTTTTAAGATGCAAAGTATTTGTGTATGAAATTGTTCCTATTTAAATTTGTCATTTGAATCATGCTTGTATCACAAAAAGGTAGATAAGTCATGCCTCAGCTAGTGGTTGCAAATGTGGTACTACAGGCAAGGTAAAGTAACTAAGTAATGCCTGCTGTCAAGATGTGAACATATATTTAAAATTGGGAGTCGTTATCGAGCGAACTGTAGATGACTGGTTAGGAAAATAAACACTAACATGACCACAGATTAAAATAGACTATCAGCTGTTTGGTTAATGACATGAAGGACTGTATTTCTTTCTTTTTTTCACACTTACAAAACATGCTGGAATGAATGAAGCCTGGTTCAAACAGTATCCAAAACAACATTTGTTGATTTAATGATTGGAAAATGTGGACAATAAGAAAGTGCCAGAAAGTTCAGAGATGTGTGTTGGCACTTTTCTTATATTTACATAAACAAACTTGATGTATTTTTTGAGTTTGCACCTCATATTGCACCTTTTAACATCTTATGACAACAAATCACAAAAAAATCTTAAAATTTATTACTTTTTTTTTTTTACCTTCACTGGCTCCCTGGCCTTTATTGTAGAAGGGGAAACTGTTATTTTCTCTTTCACTTGGAAAAGAGAAAGTCGGAGGAGGTATTATTTTAATCTATGCAGGATTTTTACAAACAAATAATAATTTTAGGCTTGGGATGTTTTACTCCACTCTTTTTTTTTCCTTTTTTTTCCCCGCCTCAGTGAGAAACCTGTTTAACTCAAGTGTCCAATGCCTTTAGCTTTTGCAATTTTTGTGTACCGGTTTAGTATATATATATATATATATATATATAAATATGTATATAGATCTGTTTTTATAACCAAACAAAGATGGCTTGAGCCATTTTGTACTTAAAGCTGGAGGCCACTTTTCTCATAGGAATTCCTCTTTGGGTTTTGCCAGCCCAGTCAATGTCTTCATACACTGGTACACTTTGTAAGTACAGGTCGGCGCCTTGTGGTCCCTACACTATCTTGTAGTCAAATGTAAAACATTTAGCGTTAGAATGATTTTGAACAGTTTGCTACTCACACTTATTTATTTTTCTGCCCCTTTTCTTTTTTTTTTCTTCTTTTTTGCCGCAGAACCATTTCCTGAAATAGGAAGCTGTAAATGTATGGGGGTTGTTCATGATGAGATTTCATTGTAAGTAGTAATTAATATTAATTCTAACTTGAACAAATCCAGGGTAAGATGAGTTATTTTTTTCTCTTTTTGACATTAAGTAGGAAGATGTTAACACTTGCATGTTTCTATTTAAATACAAATGTATAAATTGTAAATATAACATTTCTTTAAGGGTGAATTTCTACTACAGGTTGACATTTTTATTGAAATTTAAAAATGCTGTAAATACATTTTGTGAGATACTTTATGCACATTTTTTTTTTTTTCTCTCTGGGCTTTCGTGTTTCTCTTCTTTTTCTTCTTCCAAGCTGTTACAGATGACATCCCAGTCTCTTAACACTGTATATCAGATTGATTTCTCTCGTCTTTTTCTTACTGTGCTCGTAAACTTTGTCTTCTGCTTCACTTTCTTTCAGTTTCATGGTCGCCACATAATCATTATTGTGTCTAGATCCAAGTGCAAATATTTTGTCTTCTCTGTATTTGATACAGAGGCGTGTACCTTTTCATGAAATGTATATTGTTGATCTCATGGGATGGATGGATTGTGTATACTGTCTGTTGTGTAAAACCATGTCTGTTGTTTCCTCATGAGAGAGATGTATTTACTATTTGTCCCTTTTGAACAATTGGTCCAACATGTCTTTTGAAACAGAGGTATTTCTCTACAGGTCAGAACAGTTGTAGCAGTTTATACAGTATGTTGTATAACATCTTTTTTCTAAAAGTTGTCTCTAAAGTGAGACCAGCAGCATACACTATGTACATTAGTCTAAATTGGATTAGTTTTCAAAGAACTGATGATAGAGATACTATATATGATGGATGCAATATGATAAAGGTACTCATGAGTTTGATCTACAAACTTAGGTTATGTAATTTAAAAGCATTCTTGTGAAGTGAGTATTAATTGTGACTAATGAGAGTCTGTCCTGAATATTCTTTGTATTTTGCCGTATTGAGAATAAAATATATATGGATATGTTTAAAGGAGTGTCACTGATTTTGTCTTAGAAGCATGCGACTGTTTACTTTGAGGGACCGCGAAAGAGTGCTGATGCGTGCAGCTCATGACATATTGAAGACTTCATTTACATTTGAGCCAAGATACATAAATATTTCGTGTACAGCCAACAATTATTCTCTTGAAAATAAAACGTTTTAAGAAATGTAGCAAAAATCTTCATCTTTCACACGGCATACCCTCCCACCAAGAGGCACCAGAGGGGTCGCAGAAATTTGGAGAGCAGAAGGGAGGAATGGAACAAAAATAAAAAAAACTCAGCTTAAAACATTTTTTGTGAGAATAACGTTTTTTTTGTTGTTTTTTTTAGATGTTACTTATCACTGAATATTTAAATCAATGTGTTCTATTATCAATGCCATTCTTTCCATTTTTTTTTTTTTTACATCTTTGGGATTAAAGAGAAAATTAAAAAATAAAATGTTCACTGTTGATTATTTTTAAGAGAAAATAAAGAAGACATTAGATATTAATTGAAAAAAAAATAACAATATAATTAACTGCTATTAAAAATAAGGAAATATACAAAGTAAGTATCTGTCTAATTTCTTTTTTTATATTTGCCATCGTAATGAACAAATCATTTAAGAAATGTTGTAAATGTTGTGTTCCTTGCCCCTGTTATGGACCAAACAATGTTTGAAGCAATGAAGAAAACGAGAAATGAATTTACAATAAAGATTTAAGCATTGAGGAAAGAAATCATAATACGTTTTCTATAGTCAGTCTTACTCACCAAAACTACCTGCTGGTATCCTTGAGGTCTAGTTATATGGGCATCCTCATGTGCTCCTAAGAGGTCAAAAGCTCCTTGTTTTAACCTCTTGTAAACTCGTGCCGTTGAGTACAACAACAAAATATAAATTACAGTTTTGTATATTTGATTTAACGGTGCCTTTCATGGTACCAATGTGATTGTACATCATATAAGATCAAATGATAAAGAAGACATCAGAGAGATGAAAATACTTTAGTAAAAGTATTGAAAATGTTGTTTCAATAAATTCATTGGTTACTTCTTCAGTTCCTTGCAAGTTAATGACCAACATTCAAAGCAGTGCAGTTAAATCACTTTTCACACAGTGTTCATATTATTCTTTCAAACCCTTGCATTGATTTAATACACACAGGCATCAGCCAACAACAGGCCTGTGCTTCAATTAGCTCTCAGTGATTCAATTGCCACCAAGTGGTCATGAGTTGATATTACAACAATCATTTCAGCCCTATCACTCCCGAATTATCATTTAGACCAGCACTTTTTTATCAGTTGTGTTATTGCAATTGTAATACTAACATAATTATATGTTTATAACACATTTAGAAGGAACGAAGAAGTGAAAGAGTTTGAAGACAAGAAATGTTGATATTTTAAAGATAATTTGACTTCCTGTATTATCTAGTAAAATAAGAAGTCAGCAATCACATCTGACACTCAAAGTAAACTGTTTTAGATGAGGCTTAGGTTCTGTAAAATCATTATAATGATAATATGTCCAAATTACCTCATTGTGTGCATTGTATTGGATTTGTTTGTAATTGAAACACATTGTGTCCTTGCCCTTAATATTTTTTTTTATCATCATGTCATATCAATTGTTACATGATTCAAATTCTTGACATTAAATTATGGAGTCGTTTTCCTAAACATTGTCTCTTATAGAAAAGATAGCCCGAGTTTATCTGACTGTGTTTGAAACAAAGGTATTTCAAGTAGTTTTTTTTTTTGGAGCTTTGCATTGCAGAAGCTTCTTACAAATGATTAGCTGCTTTCAATCCACGTTGCTCTGCCCTGACATTAACTCTTTAGATTCTTCATGGTCACTTTATTTTGAAAGATTACCTCAAAGGGTAGGCTTGAGTGTACTGAACGACTGACTAAGACTTTATTATCGCTCAGTCGTGGCAGAATAAGTGGCAAGTGGCACAGTTTAGACAGAACCTGCCTCTTTTCAGTGAACTGAACAACATCAAAACAATAGGTAGGCAACAGAGAAATTCCCGTTTTCACAATTCCGCCATTAACACGAACTCACCAATCATGTGTCGTGTCTTCCCAAAGTGCCCGCCTCTCGCTGCTTTTGATTGGTCTACTCGGTCCTCTATTACCTCTCATCCGCTTCTCGCTCCAGGGAATAAGGTAAGCTAAATGCGAGCGAAGGAAAAGCTTATTACTAGAGGGTGGTTTGAGGCACGGCAAGCCTACCAGCATAAAGTCAATATCGCCTGTCAGTTTTAGTCTTAACTTTCACCATTAGTCCCTAAAGAAGAGGACAAAACACCCGAAAGAGAAACACGGACTAACCAGGAGCTGGACAGCAACAGGTACGTGAAGCAGCAGGTGCATTTAGGGTCGCTGTGTTCAGTTTCGGTCGTCATTCAGTCAACCTGTTGAAAAGTATTTTTTGGGGGGAAAATGACATATGACAGCTTACAACAGTGAATAAAATAACCTATTATGAAGCCGTCTTTATATGCGTAGTGTCCCATCCGATGCCATTTGTGTCGAATGTAAAATGAACGCTGTCCTCTGAAAAGGTGTAACAGCTCTCAGGTCAGTTCTGATCCCTTGATAATGGTCATCATGACTGGGTGTTATTTTTTATATACATTTTTTTTTTTTTTTTTTTTTTTTACACATTCCCTGTTGGATTAAATTAGTAGTTTGATTTAAATACGTCGGTCTCTTGATGTTTTCTTCTTCCTGCTCCTGTTTGCTCATGAACAGTGTTTCAGCATTATGAGAAAATCTGTTTTTGTTGTTGTGCATTATGGTGTTGAAACCATATACACTGAATTGAGCAAATATGAAATGAAATATGAAATATGCCATTTACATTTTCTCGCTTTATTCTGTTTTAGCATATTTATGGCCTTTTAAAAAAAAAAAAACACAAGTTCATTTTGTGTAACCTACCTAGTTGCTTATAATCGTGGATAAGAAACTGAGTTGTCCACTAACTTGGTAAACTTTAAAATGTTCTAATAATAGTTGTGTCTATTCAGTTCACACCTTACATTTCTTTGTATTCTGGCTGTTAGAATAAGTAGATATTTTACATCAATTTCTGACAATGATGGTATGTTGCAGCCCTGTAAAGGATAGTGTAGACTGGAGATGAATTGCAACCCTGTTATCACATCATTTAATTGCCATTGCCTTACTTTCCGTGTTGTAATTTCATGCAATGCCTGTTGTGAGAACAGCACAGCATTGGCCTTCTTTAACCTTATCTCCTTGCCCTAAATTGATACCTGGCTCTGAATTATGCACTGGAGGGCCTTTCTACTTAATGACTGGACTATGTTTTATTCAAAGCTGGAACAAAAGGCACCCAGGCTGCGGCAGGGTTGCTTTGGGGGAAACCAGACACTGGTGTTTTGTGCTGGGGTTGAAACTCAAGCACTCATGCAGTGCATTGGTCAGATGGTGGGAGCAGGAGGAGCACACCGGCCTCTCTGTGTGGTGCTGCTTCTGCTGGATGGCCATGTTTAGGCTGATGCCCCTTCTGGACTTCACTGCACCCAAAGTCTGACCTGGAGGCTGCGCGATGTCGGTGGAGAGTGTGCAGATCCACCTTTGCGAGATTCCGTGTAAACCCTGGTTGATCCAAAGATTGAAGCCATGCTCTGATGGATCGTTGAACTCATTGATGAAGTTGTGACTCAGGGCGCACAGCTCAATAACTTGACAAGTAGCCAAACATGCGATGTGGAAAATACACACATTCGGCAGTTGTTGCACATGTGGATTCTTATGAATGATAGCGTGGGTGGGTGACGTATGGGTGTGTGTTTGCAGGAAGATTAAACAGGAAAGGAAGCAGGAAACAAAAGATGGAAGCAAATAGAACGGCAAGGCTATAAAATAAGAGAGGGGTCATATAGCCACGGGCTGTATACGTAAACTTACACAGAGTGTTGAAACATGATCGCAGTCTCAAGCTTTTGCTCTCGCTACAAAACAACAAGATTGTGTGGGCAGCATCAATGGCAAGAAAAGTCATCCAATAACATTTAATACATTCGCACTGTGCAGTATTTTTTTTTTTTTTACATAAATTGGCCATGCTCCCATAATCCCAATTCTCACACTTTACACAAACATATGGTTTGCTCAAACTTAAAATAGAAACTAATTACAGGCTCAGGACGGCATGTGTTGCGTTGTTGTTTGATGAGACTGCTCGCTTCATTTCAGCAGTTGAAGATGACTCTTGCCGTGTTTGAGTGTGGGGTTTTGCCGCATATGCTTCCATTTTATTGATGACCTTTGACACAGAACATCTCTCCTCCCACAGATAAACTAACTGGTTTGGTTTTGCGAGTTAAGATGCCATAAAAACTTATTGGAGGCATTTGGTAAATACCCAGATAAAATGCAGTTCAAAAGTTGCAAAGATGGATCCATATGAAAATGGATGCAAGATTTAACATTACTGATGCTTGATTTCTGATTTACGAAATCTGATCATCTTCTTCAGGAGAAAGCAGCTAACAGGCTGAAAAATATGATCTCACATTACCTAATGCTTCCGTATTTAACCCTCACCACTCTGTGTGGTGTCAGTTTGAAGGTGTCACAGTGAGATAATGGATGAGCATGTAACAGGAAGGCGTCAGAGATATAAATCAGTTAACAGCTCGTTGGTTTCTGTTAGTCTTACTGGTATTATTTACACGTTCCCTTAATGGAAGTTTGATCTTGTTGCAATTTCACATCTTCCATTTCACCTGCTGGTGCTTTCACTGTCATTTGTTTCTTTCAGGAAATAGCTGAAATTGATCATGATTCATTCTAAGTGAGGAATTCTTTGTTGTTTTATTGGCTAGGTCAGTTGAAGTGGTCGTAATCACTTGACATATTATCTTATTATATTCTATGTGGTTGTTAATGGTTTGTTTTTAGTGATTTTTATGTTTCTTTCTTACTTTGTCATAATGCTGTTGATGTTTTGTATGGAGCGCTTGACAGCTTTGTTGCTGAAATTGGCTTTATAAATAAACTTGCCTTGCATTGCTGGGATTAAATACTAGCATGTTTTGGCATATTGTGGATGCTGTTTAGGCTCCCGAAAAATAACATTGTGTTTGTTCAGTTGAGCCATAAAGCAAAAACATCTTGGCTGATCAAAGTCCATCAGATCAGTTATTATCATGCGTTTCATGGGCAATAAAGTCAAACTTTTCAAGATGGGAATTATTAGAGATAAGCAGAGGATATGCTGTACTTTAAACAACATCATGGTGACACTGTAGCAGCTGTACTCAGCATGGAGGCTCGTTAGCACAAGATGTGGTGTAATCGTTTGTGTATGTCATCATGATGTCATGCTTCACCTTGAGTAAGTGGATAAAGAGACATGTTCAGAGTGCATGATTCTAACACACAGGTATTCAGGTACGCTGAGGTAGGATGACATAATTGACATAATTTAACGCTGATAAAGAGGTCATGGTGAATGACTTGTTCATGACAAAGAAGCGCAGAGAAGGAAGTAAAAGTCCTGCTTAAGATACTAGGATCAAGATAGAAATACCCGTCATGATTAATAAGTAACAAATTAACAGACTTAAAAAAAGATTGTCCTGTAATCTATTTTTTTTTTTTTTTGTACTGCTGTTAAAATATGTGTCTTGCCTGAAAGGGCTTTAGGGATGATAGAGAGAAAAAGGGTCGTATTGCTTGCCTATACTGGCTAGGCAGCAGATTATTCTGATAGTTTAATGGAAATATTGGCCTTATCTGGCTTTCAATGTAATGCATAATTTTTTTTTTCTGTAGCGGGGAACTTGCTAATAATCTCTAAACGTGTTAGCTGAAGTCCTATAAACTGTGATTTTTAAAAAGTTGACTAAAAACAGCCATAGACCCTAGTTATATAGAAATCATATTTGACAGACAGTTTAATTATATTTTTATGTTAACATTGGTTCAAATGACTATGCAAATTGGGCTTTGGAAAAAAAAAACCAATATAGCAAAGTACAGCGATATTTGTTCTCAAATACTACATTAAATAAATAAAAAATGTTCTTTTATTTCCCTTAAATTCTTGAAATCAAAACAACCTAGATGTCACTGTTCTGCTTGTAGGCCGGCTCCAAAACCCTAAATCTTCAACGGGCAAGAGAGAGAGAGCAGACGTGGTTGAAGTCGGCGAGCACGGCTAATATAAATAAGGCTGAAAGAGATAAGATGTTGTTTCATCACTGTTTCACTATGGTTACACCGTTTAGTTGTATGCTGGTGTTCATCTGCACGCTGTGCGTTCGTCATCCGACACAGCCACGACATAGACTTACCGCTCATATTCACAGGTCTGCAAACACCCAGGTTGTAAAGTCCTGACACACAGTAATGTCCCAAACACAGCAACATGAGGGAAAAATACAAAAAATACAAATAGAGGCCATGCAAGGTCTGTGCAGATACACCACCAAACATCAACTGGATTAAGAGTGATAATTGAGATGGGATATTTTTAAATAGGTTTATACTTTATATATATTTTTTAAATAGTACTATTTATAATATAGTACTATAATACTAAATTATTAGAAAATGTCCATAATGTAATTCAAGTATGTTGATTTATTGTGCACATTCCTGGCATTGTGGGGTGCCGCTTTGAGTGATAGAAAGCACGTGGGTGGATTTCAAAATGTTCTGCGTGTGGAACATGAGTAAAACTATCCCCGATGTCAGTCAACACATATAAGACATTCACAGCCTTCCCCTGCTCCACCTTCCTGCCATCTTTTGTCTTAGTTGTTACTTCAGAACTCTTTTCCATAGGCGGGGTCAGGGGGCCTTTTCTTGACCGTTCACCACCAGTCTGCGGTTGGGAGTTATTGTCAGATCCTCCTTCTTTTGTCTGGGAAACAGAGAGGCCTCTTCAGGTCCTCCACAGCAAATGGACGGAAGGAGACAAATAGCTGACAGAGGTTATCACTGCTAATATGAGACCCCCTGAGGGCAGGCTGGAAAGTGTGTATGGCTATGCGTGTCTGTCTGCCCATTCTGCTTATCTGACAGGACCACACCTACACTATTGTATGGCCCTTATAGGACCCTCTTTGGGTTGTGACAGTGTCATATGTCATGTGGGCATGTGTGGAAGTGTGTGAGGAACCTAGAAAGACTTTAAATGTCCTGCTCATTTTCCCACTTATTTAGGAAAAAGCCTGTTGATGGACAATACACATGTTGTAGCACCAACATGCTGTAAGACAACATGAACAAAAATAATGTAGCCAATGAATTATTACAGTCAGATAACATTTAATGTTGTGATGTGGATTATTTCTTCACCTTACCTTTC